CCCAGGGGACGGCCAAGATTAACCTGGTGCAAACATATAGAAGGAATCTGTTCCAGACTGCATTTGTCTTCTGCCGAAGCTCAGACTCTGGCTCAGGATCGGCAACGTTGGAAGCACTGTCTGACGTGTCTGCCTTCGCGACCCGAAAGGAGAAGCGGCGATGGAAGATGAAGATGAAGACAGCACTAAACTGATGGAAGCGACTGCACAGCCGCAGCGAATTCATCATGACAGCCGACACTTGATCTTTCGATGCGTTAGCTCAGAGTGACATTTACTACGCAGCATGTCTCTAATCATATCCCATATAAGCAGATCACAGCCGAGAAACGCCAATCAACTTTCTCAAGCTTGACTCGCTAAGATTGTCTTTCCAACAGTATATTCAGAAAAATTTTCTTCATTCAATAAAACTAAGGAGACAGGTTCTCTCATTAGTATAACGTAAGAAAATGTACATAGCACATTTGAAATTCATCTTTCTCCAAGCAAATAAAAATTCTTCAATTACGTTATATATCTTGATTAACTCTTTTACAGTAGACGGCGGTGTCAAAATACAAATGCTTCTGCACTCATGATCAAGTTACGTTTCGACTCTCTCATTGTAAGTCGAATATCATGTATGCGGTATAATAAATAAATAGGCAAATATATTACTGCTACCATTCAATAAGTAAATAAAAGAATATCTACTCTAATTAACTGAATGCACGCGATTGAAATGATACGATTAATTGCTGGAAGATGATGCTAGGGAGAAGGCTATAACCAGAGGATCATTAACTGCTCTTTTAAGGATTCGCGTTCGTGAGAATGGCTGCACTCGGCAGTTGTTGATGGTTTAGTAATAAGGGCACGCTTCTTCAGGAATAAGTTTTGAATGGACAGTCTGTTTCTTCTTTTCATTAAAAATTTCTTTGTAATAAGTAGGACCATTCTGTATTTGCTTTTAAAAATTGGCAAATTTCTCAATATTAAGATCTTATTATCAACACATGATACATTGCATAATAATTTATAAGAGGTCGACGCTCGTGATCGCAACAGAGACAAAGGGTGCACTGGTATCGCACCATCATAAATCAGCGACGAGCACACGTGCTTTTGCATTTGAACATATTTTTCCTATCCCATGTATCTGTAGTCCCAAGCGACTCTTTCCAGATAAATGTGAATACCAGCGTTCGTGTTTCATTTCGCTTCACCGCAGAACACAAGCATCGTAAAAAACAAGGTTCTCTAACGTGGCGAAATAAGAACCTGTACACTATAAAGTCGACTGACGAATGCACTCAGATATTTGCAATTGTGCGAAATTCAGATGTTGATCGTACTATCTTTGAACAGTCAGTCAATCCTTCAGAAATTTTCTCTGTTGTTCGTCTCATACATAGTCTCAAAGACCAGATTTCATAGCGAAATGCCAGCCCCTTGCTCCTAGCTGCCAAAGAAAAAGTGGCCACCGAAGCACGCCATGACTTCATAGTATTTGAGCATCCGCAGTGTCAGATGCAGCTCGCGCTCACTGCGAAAGATTATCAGAAGCTGGTACTCATTATGTGCTATCGCATAAACATCAATCTACATCGCAATAGGCAAAATAACGCATAACTGTTCAAAGACTTGATTTCACATCGAAGTGACTGCGAAGCCTATATTTTTGTTCTCCCACGGCATGGGGTATCGTAGCTAATAACAGCAGATATATGAAAAATGGATTAAAAGAAGAAATGCCAATTAGCACTTATATAAATATGTCCTACGAAAAAGCTTCAAACGAGACGACCGAATCACTGGTCTAAACAATTTTAATAATCAATTTATTGAATCAACTCCGTCACTCTCCGTGCTAGGTCCTAATGAGAAGAAAAGAAGCTTGGAGACAGTGGCGAGGTCTCCCCAAACTTAACCAACTGATGACATGGTATTGCCGCCAACGAAAATTAAAATGGCTCAATCTTTGCCAAGGTTACCAAGGGCCGAGTAGGCTGTTAGGGGACTGAAACAGACTGCGAAAAGTCGGTGATCAGAACCTACTGATCGCCCTCTGAGAGTGCGAGGTGTAGCGGCACAGCAACGGCTGACGAAGATCGACGCAACGACGACGAAGATACCAGTCAGCGACGGACTAGTAACCCGTTCTGAACGGAAGAGACAGATAGCCCGATGTCATTATAGCACGTCAGAAAAGAGCTCACGAGAACGACACCACCAGTGAAAGCAAAAAGTCGGAAATTGGAATATATCTTCACTCAGAGGAAAAGAACAAGAATTGGTTGATGAGGCCATAAAGCTGACACTGTAGGACACTCGTCAACGAAACGCCCAGACTCTGGACTCTTGAACCTCAATGGATGGAAACTGTTCCACTCAGACGTCGACATCACGACTAGCGCTTAGACCGGTGTTGGAGTTCTGGTAGAACCCAATCTTGCCGGTAGAATAATCGACTGGAAGCCTGTCAGAGGAAGGATGGTAATCCTCCGACTGAAGCTACAACAGGCTAAAGCACTGATCTTGGTACAGGTTTATGAGCCAAATTTGGAAGGAGAATATGATACCTTCCTTGAGGAAGTGCAGTATGCTCTGTCCGAAGTGCCGAACACAAAATTCCTCATACTGATGGGCGATTTTAATGCGTACGTCGGATTAGACGCTGAAAATTGGAACGGCGTGATTGGGAAAAAACGGCCCTAGCGACCTCAACAATAACGGCATGAAGTTGTTTTGCTTTTGTGCAAGCAACGGATTGTCCATTATGAACACCTTCTTCGAGCATCGAAAGGTACATCAGTACAAGTGGTACCGGGATGCTTGTGCACTGAAGTCGATGATCGATTTGATAATCGTATCGTGTGACTTAAGACGCTCAGTAACGGATGTTCGTGTTAAGAGAGGCGCAGAGCTTTCAACCGATCATCACCTCCTTGTTAGCATTCTGCGCTGTAAGAAACAGATTACCATTCGAAGATCTGACGGCATATGCAATTACAGAATGAAACGGGAAACATCTCCGGTAGACAGCAAAGTTTGCAAGCAACATCGCACGATGGTTTAAACAGATCCCAGTGATGACAACTGATGTGGAAACCGAATGGCAGCTCTTTAAGAGCGGCATGCTCGAAGCTGCCGTCGAATGCTGCGGATTAAAATGGGTTGGCCTAAGATGGTTACTAACTAAGAGGAGGGAACATCGACGGAACGACGACGAAGATACCAGTCAGCAACGGAATCGCAACCCGTTCTGAACAGAGGAGTGATTCCATCTTTGCAAGTCAGAAAAGGCTCCACGTGAACGACAAATCTAGTGGGAGCTTACAGTCAAAAACTGGAATATATGCTCACTCAGAGTGAAAGTACAAGTGTTAATAAATGAGGCTATAAAGTACAAACTCGACATTATTGGACTCTTGTCAACGAAGTATCAAGACCCTGGAATTCTGAACCTCAGC